CACTTTCAGGATTTAAGGGGAAAGAAAATTCTCCCTCTGGTAAGTAAATATTTGAAATGAGAAGGTTCAGGTTTTAAAAGATGTTCTATGTCACCAAAAGTGACTAAGATGGGATCTATAATTACCCACAGAATAGACTGGAGAGAGAGGCCAGCAGCACTTACTGGCAAAAATTGAACCAAGAAATACCCTCCCCTCCCCTCCCCTCCCTAGGAATTAAGGCACACGAAAGCAGTCCCACTAACACTTATCAGTGGAGATGAAAAGAAACAACTGTGAATAGTTACCTTCCACCTCAAATAGATAACTCAGGTCTAAAAACAGTCGGCATCTACATTTGTAAAAGAAAAACAGAAAATAAAGCAAATCTGCTTCAAGCTTAACACAACCACAACAGTCTTTCAAAAAATCAGATTACTTACATTAAATGACAAAGTACCCAGAAGAAACATTTAATCAATATATGAAAATAATTTACGTACTGAGCCAGAAGATGATCTTCTCTTTTCACAGCTAAGGAATGGAGGTGATACAATGTACCCCTGAGTCGGTTGCTACTCTCTTTCTCTTCTTCACCACCAAAAGCCAGAAAAAGATGGCAAATACATTTTATAAGCTGGGTAAAACAAGATTTATACCTACAAAAACTACTACAACTTTCAGTATCTCTAGTTAAGGGATTACTTGTTACTAAACTTTTTTAACCCTTTAACCCTCATGAGAGAGCAAGATAAAATTTCTCCTTACCATATCAATCCAATATCAAGCAGACAAGTAATGAGAATAGAGAAAAATATTAAATTTTTGATTGTCAGTTGATCCTATACCAAATTATCTGAGCAAATATCCTAAAAAATATATAGCAAAAAGTGAATACATGTAGAATTCATAAATGAGATCTTGGAAGTGGTTTTTTGATGAAGGAATGCACATTCTGAAATGTAACTCAACAGGTAGATGTAACATATTAATTGCATCATTTGAATTCCAAGGCACTTCACTTTCTTGCCTAAACAATTGGTTCAGTTCTAAAAAGATCACTAACCTGGTGACACGGCCCTCATCATTGCAAACCCTGCTTTAAAACAAGCGATTGCCAAATTTGATCTATTCTCGTAATTATATTTGAATTCCTCCACAACATATCTGAGTAACTCAGAGAGAAGGTGGCTTAAACCTGATGCTGAACAAATCATATTGATATGATTAATTAAAATAATTGTGACTACATTTCATTGAGAATACTTGTGTAAAAGTGTAAAGAAACTATTTTTATTTAGTGCTTATATCTCAGTGCTTATAACTGAGATAAGAGGTAAATTACTTTTCAAGTTCACAAGATGAACTAAGATTTAACCCTTCAAACCCTAAGAGTTATTTGCATCTTGTTTCTCCTCACAGTCCCATTCCTACATGTATAATGGGAAATCACACCATTGTGTAATATTAAAAGGCTTGTTCGTCATATCATTTGGAAGAAAAAAGAAAAAACAAGGTTTCAAAGTAGAAAAAAAAAGGGAAAAAAAAGAGGTCACCTTAATTAAAGCATTTTAAAGGAATTTTATAGCAGGTCATAGCTGTAATAAATTTGATTGAAAGATCCTATAGGACATCCTTTTTTTTTCCAATTGTTTTGAGAATGTAAATTTTAAATAATTTTAATTTAAGTGTTTTATAGAAATTTCTGGCGGGTCCACACCAGCCAATGGGTTGCCACAAACAGACCTGCCTCTCCAAAAAGTATATGTATATGTATGTATGTATATAACCAGCAACATTTAATGCAATGAAAACTGCAATTTCACCAGTTGACTTGTATCTCCAAATACAGTTTGAAATCTGAACACTAACCACAGCATCCATCCCATGCATCCTTTGAACAGATGAAATAGAGAGGTATGCCAGGAAGAACAGAGAGTTGAGCCATGGCAGACTCCTTAGGTTCCTGCCAGAATGAAGTGATCAGCAGATATAGGACTGCCAGGTTGGCAATGATAGGCACAATCAGCCAGACCTGTTCCAAATAGAACAATGATACTAGTCAGTATTACAAGAACCAGGATCATAATTTTCCTTGTTGAAATCAACAAACAGTTGTACTGGAGCTAGGTGTAAGATTTGGCAGACAAAGGGCTGAGGCAGGTTTGGCCAATACAGGGCTCATTTGTACAAAAGGAAAAAAATCACCTTTGTTGAATGCAGCTAAATATTACTATTTTACCCAGTTTATAAGGCAATGAAAATTGTCCTTTATCCTCTAGCACTGCAAGACACAAGCATTTAATTTCTCCTTACAATATCACCCCTGAGTCTAACATTAATCTCAAAGGAATCAAGGAAATAATCACAAACTAAAGAAGCTCTTGAGTGATTCTCCTTGTCAGAACCTTAGGAAATGTATAGAGAACAGTACAGAGAACATGCATATTAATGTTAGGGTGTAAAGTGTTAACTGGAATGAAACCTTGAAACAATGATTTGTGAGAATTTAGACCAGAGTAAATAATTACATGTTGAGACCAAAGAAAGCTAATGAAAGAGAAGATGACCACAGATTCTGAATGAAAAAAGTTTTTTTTATGACTACAAGTTACATGTATTACTATTTAAGTCCATGCTTTGCAAGACCATT